CTGCACACTGGTGATTAACACATATCCTCTTTCAATCGAGTCCTCTTAGGGTTCCAGAAAAGACTGGAGGTGACAAAGATGCCCCGAGGACCCCTGGCGATCTGTCTGAGACCTGCCATGGTGGGGTGCAGAATGCCCCTCTTTGTTTTTTTTGTTTTTTTTCGGGGGGGGGTTCACAAGCAGGATAGAGGGTGCAAAAGCGGACATTCTCAATACTCTACCTTTTGTTTTTTTTGTTTTTTTTCGGGGGGGGGTTCACAAGCAGGATAGAGGGTGCAAAAGCGGACATTCTCAATACTCTACCTTTGTTAGGCTCCTACTGCCATTTGCTACATTTAAGGAGGGATTATAAATCAGATGATAACTTCCATGAGACCTTCACCATGGAGGTCCTTCAAGATTCTGAGAGAAGAAGGATTAGACGCTCCAAGGTAATATCCATCTCACGCACCACCCACGTCCCCCTCCCCACCTTCTCTGGTCACACCACAAAATTCAAGAGCGCCGGTAAGGTCTCAATCTCGCACGGCGCTTCTGTAGCTAAGTGGTGTGTTATTTTGCACCTTGCATACGCTGCAATGTGACCTTTTTTATTATTAAAAATATGCGCTTCTGAATATGACAACTTTAACTCTGTCGACAGTGTGGATCCAGTTCGGTGCCAGACAAAGAAACAGAAGAGGGCTGCGCAGTTCAGTGGAAAATTAATAAAGTCTTACTTAAAAGCAATGAATATTAAAATGCAATCAGATCTAATAGACACGCTCACTGTGTCCTACCCATCGGCTGCCTGGTTCTCCCGCTTGATTATCCTGCTGAGTTTGGCACCGACGTACCAGGGCTCCTGTGTCAGCACAGCTCCGACTTTGATATCACCTCTCTGAAGATGCAGGTGCTGAATCGATGCTACGCGAAGTGAAGTCTTTCGAGCTAACATGCATTAAGCGCTTATCCAACCCGAGGCCACAAACCTGGATCAGCCCAGCGACCCACAAGACTCATGGCAAGACTCATTTCTTGTCTGTGGTGAAAAAGTATGCAAACTACATTTTTAAATGCCAAGTCTGTGATGAGAACTGAATTTTGCTCACAGTGTCCATCAGAGTCTGCCGTGGTGTTGACCCCCGTACACGGTTGTTGACGTCCGACGTTCCTGTACGTCAGCGGTGGCCAGTCTTACCCGCAAAGGGTCGGTGTGTATGCAGGTTTTTGGGGTAACTTGCAGGTCAGCTGTTCAAATCCAGGTGTGAGGACACTTCAGCCAATCTGTTCTCTAATTAGTGACCTAATTAGGGAGTTGCAGCAAAAACCCGCACACAGAAACCCGCACACAGAAACCTGCACACAGAAACCCGCATACAGAAACCCGCATACACAATGGATCTTTCTGGTTAAGACTGGTCACCCCTGCTCTGTGTACACGACAATTATTAGTATATGTTGAAAAGGCAGCATGATGTGCTTTTCATTTTGTAGTCTCTTCTGCTCGGTTATGGGTGAATAGTTCTACATCTTGCTTGTTTAGCTCAACAAAGAGCACATTGTGCTAACAACACAAAGGTCATAGGTTCAAATCCCAAGGAGCACACCTAGCTTGTAACCCTTCCTTCTACTGTAAGTAGCTTTAAATAAAAGTGTCACATTAACACCCAGAATTTCCACAAATGACTGATCAGTTTGCCGCTCTTCCTGCAAAGGTTCCTTGTAGTCGGCGTCATCTTCCCTGTACTGATTCGGCTACGTTCCCAAGCAGGAAGATAAAGTGTCCAGCCTCCACGGTATCTGCAGTCCGCATCTCCGGAGTGGGTCTGCTTGGCAGGCGCTGTGAATCCCCCAGATATTTCTGAATCGTTCTGCAGATTTTTCTTTTTAAAGCTGCGCCTGTGAACAGGCATCTCGACACTTGCTTTATTAAGGTGTGTGCGTGTTGCATTTACGCTGAGACCGGGTCCTCCCTGACCCGGGCTGAGAGTGCGGGGCCTAGGAGGGGATTTGCTGGCACCCCCACCCCCCTTAATAAAAGTCACTGCCTCGTCACGTGACTCACCACAGATGGTCCAGCACGTCTAAAGCAGAGTAGCAAAGTGGGTTGGGGGATAAAGTGACGGCTCCTTAATCTGGAGGTTTGGGGTTCAGAGCTCACGGCTGGGTTTATGTGTGGCTCCGCATGTTAGAATGGAAGGATGCTGGTTCAAATCCCATGGCTGGCAGAGCGATTACGCTAGTGTCCTCTCCCCGAGCAAGGCTCTTATCCTCGACTGCTTCAGGGGCTGTCTGGCTCTGCTTTCTCAACTTTTATCCACCATGGATAAAAGCTAAATAAATGAAGTGTAGATGTGGAATCCCAAACCACTGGTTGGACAGCCAGGTCCTTCGGCCCTTACTAAGGGTTTGGTTGTGAGAGTTAACCCCAAATAATAACTGAAATTGTAGAAAACATACCGCTGACTGGACTGCAGTCAATGCACTGCTTGTGATTCAATTGTTACATCAGACACACATTGATCGTTTTGAGCAGAAACACCCAGTCTAAGCGCTTTGAGGTGTTAGACTCCTTCCTTTGATGAATTTCAAAGACAAATTCCTGGATCAATTTACACAAAGCACTCCAAAAGGCACTACCTTGGTGCTTGCGATCCTTTCAGAAAACACACGCATGACTCGTCAAAATGACTCACACACGGACGAGGCCATTTCCAAGAATCAGTTTGTCCCCCTCCCCCTCAGGTAACATGAGAAATTCCCTGCCCCAACATTTCCGGCACAAGTAGAGACATTCCCTAAAAAAGTTGCTTAGTCATTTTTAGTGGAAGAAGGCCGAAAGCATGCAGAAAGCTGTCCCTCAAGGCACCGGCTTTCGTGACTGTCCAATCTGTCCGCACCAGCGTTCATTACTGTCTGTGAGAAACAGAGCAGAAGAATTTATCTTGCAGGGGAGTTTGCAAGGTCCACCGTAGCTGGGATAGAACAAAGAACCACATGGTCCTGGATGGTTTACTGAGATCGGATCCATTCATGTGTAAACAAAGGCTGCATTTTGTTTCCGACTGCCTGAAGTGATGTGGTTGGGGGTCACATGATCAGTGATGTGGGATCATGTGACTAAATAAGCAAATATCTAGGCTCATGTAGCACAACAATTAGAACACTGCACAAACAACTTTAAAAAGTCATGGGATCAAATCCCAGGAAGCACACAAAAACTATAACCCTTTACTGTCAGGTCTATAGATACAGAGAAGGTAGCACATTTTGAGATTAATCTATGAAACAAGTAACTCTGAAATAACTCATTAGTAAAAAGAGTATTTTCTCTCTTTCTGAAAGGCCTTATGAGTACCACAGACAGTTCGATTCATGGATACGTACGTATCCATCCATCCATCCATCCATGGGTACCAGGGTCGGGGGTGTGTGAAACATCACATGGGCTCAAACCAGATTTTATTTTCCTTAGGCTGCCACCCATTAAAGACAAAATGCCAGATCACTTTCACACCACGCTGCTGACTCTCAGGCAGACTCTGGCTCAGAAGCTCAGTAGCGAGATCTCTCACATCTGGCTCTTTATAAACACCCTGGAGTGCCCCCCCACCCACACGGCTCACCTACCTGCACGAGAAGTTCGAGCTTCCTGTCATCTAGGAGGTGCACCTGACATCGCCGCCCCTCCGTCATCTGAAAGGGAGGAGAGACCAGATTTAGCTTCAGCATGACATGACACTGGGAATGGGAACCTCCCCCCCCCCCTCCAGCTGAGTGTGTGTGTGGGGGGGGAGCATCTGATTTTTTTCCTGTTCTGAACACTGCAAATTTGCATCAGCCCTCAGAAACAGTGACATCACAGACAAGGGCACCTCATCTCCAATCCCCCCCCCCCCCCCCCCCCCACCCCCCCCCCCCCCCCCCCCAATGCAACAAGCTGCCTCCGTGCCGTAACCTAGGCGATTCCAGGTCTCCCGTTCCATCAGCTCGGATCAGGAAGCATGTTCATGATGGGTTCTGTGCCTGACAAAACCGTCTGTGAGTCCTGAAGGAGCAGATCCTGTCTGAAGCAGCTGGTGCTGATGGGACTCAGTGGTGAATTTCGGTTGGGGTCACAGCCGCATGTTTGCTAACTCACAGACACGCTACACCTTCCAGGTCAGTGTCCTGCGCCTGACTCTCTGGGGCTGGCAGCTCCTCCGCACTTAACCTCCAGACTCGACTGCCTGTAGAATGCACTTCCTGTACATGCCTCGGGCCATCCATCGTCCCGGACGAGATTCCATCACGCCACAAACAATGGTCTTGGCGGAAGCAATTTCCTGTGCACGTGAGGGGCTCTTGGATGTCTGGAAATGCTGGCATCCTTCCCAGAGGAAGCGCATGAGGCCAGGAGGATCTCTATAAACATCGAGCCATCAGCCATCACCCTCCATCCAGCTCATCTCCGTCTCTCCTCAGTCGCATTGGGCTCTTGTAGGAGGAGGGGCTGTTTTACTACCAGTCCATCAAGCGATTAGGAACTTCTGAAGCACGATCAGCAGCGAAAGAAGGATTCTGGGCCAAAGTGCTACCACGTAGCTGCAAGGGAGCAACACTACTGACTGAGCTTCATAACATCTTCATGGCACAAAAGCAAAACCACACCCATCGCAGTTGGACAGCTGGGGGAAAGCGGAGCTGACAGTTAACTCTCCCTGTCCTCAGTGCAGGGTGACAACTGGCAGACTCTCTAATAACTGGTCATGATTGATAACGGGCTTGACGGCATTAACCCCCCGAGCCCCAAACCCAACAAATCGCCACTCCAGATTGTAAACATGCAGCCAGGTGGTGGAGAGTCTCTGAAACATCTGCGCTCGGAATGTGGCTTTCAGCATTTCCCCTGTTTGTTTCTCCACCTCCTGAGTTATCGATTGTGGATTAAGGAAAAGAGACAGAGAGAGAGAGAGAGAGGGCTGCACTCTTCATCTGCTGACTCACCACGTCCGCAGAGAGGGTCCTCACCAAATACATTGTTGAGTTTGCACTTCTCTGCCACTAAGCCAGAGATCTGGTGGCACTGCCCCCCCCCCCCCCCCCCCCCACCCCCACCCCACCCCTCCCCTCCCCAATGCCATATCGCCCAACAACAGAGCTCAAGAACTTCAAGAAGAATCACAGGGCTGAGAAGATGCTTCTCTCTGAGCTTCTCCAGCGTCCCACTCACTGCTCACTCTTCACCAACATCAAGGTTTAGCAGATGTTTACCTTTGTGAGGCGTCAGACCAAATGCTAATCTGTTAATCTGCATTGGGGGGGGGGGCATATGACTTCCCTGACCCCCACGGATGCCAGTTTGTTTGCCTTAAGGATCCAGGAGGGGCTCGGATCACCCTGCAGGACATCGACCATCCCCTCCTTCGTCGTCTGCATCAGCTTAACAAGCAGACCTTTTGTTTCTCGTTTCAGGCCTGAAATCCAGGATTCTACCCTGTGGATCTTTCAGCATAAATGCTTGTCTTTCAAACCTCTGGTCACCGAGGTTTGATTTATGCTACAGCTCCGACACATGTGAGTGTGGGCCACGATCCGGCCGGAAGCGTGGTCCCAATGGACTGGGGGGGGCTCACAATAGAGGTGACAGAGAAAGCTGAACAGCTTTATGCTTCCTTAACATCCGGAGGAAGGAATGGGGGGGGGCGGCAGGGGGAGAAATCACACAGGCAACTTTGCTTGTAAATATCAGAACACATCATGACCAAAACAAACAAGAAACCCAGTAACACGTCCTGCCATGAACCCGTCCTGTCAGCCAGTCGATGTCCCATCAGTCTGTAAACGTTGATCAGAAATTTCCACACATTAAAAGTTGGACGTTAGAGGCTGCAGGGCTCTAAAACTCCAAGCTGGCTTGTCACTGCAGGTTGGGGCGTGGTGTGTATGTGCGTGTGTTTGTGTGGGGTGTGGTGGGGGGGTGGGAAGAGGCACGCAGGTGCTGTTTGGACACAAATCGACAGCCCTACACCAATGTTTGCTTTGGCTGTTCATGGCTTACGTGCCACATCCAGACAGAAATGTGCATGCAAAAGCCTTTTCATCAAACGTGAAAATAAAACTGAATGTAAAATGAATCAGTTATGTGGAAAGTAAATAATAACAAATTTGAAAATTCTAATCATAGGCTATAGCCAGAGTATGTTCCAGTTACACATGTCTCATTACGAACCAGAGAAGCATGACAGAGCACTGTCCTAACCTGCTAACCTGCACAAGCCTACACAACTTGACCACAAGTCAATTTTTCTATTCAGCAGCAAGAATAAACACTTGGGTTCGTTTAAACACGTATATGTGCGAATTTGACGCACAAAATAGATCAGCCTATGTTTTTTCCCCTCTTTTTTTTAATACAAAGCCTTTTATTAGCGTATTGTATAAACAAACAAACAGCCATATTAGCCACAAAAGTTTTATACGGCACATCTACCGGGGAATAAGAGGGTTAAACACTGTGTACTTGTGGTAAACAAATTAAATATGCCCACTCAAATTCAACGAATCGTTTGCTTTTAGATAGCAACCTTTATTTAACTTCTGTGTCTTGTTCACAGACACGTTGCTAATTCATCTGTAAATTAGTAAAAGCCCGTTGTATGTTGGTGGCAAGTTAATATTTCTCCCCAGTGTATTTCCATTATGGGGATATACCAGCTGGAAAGCAGTATAAGATCGTGTAAGCTGTAGGAACATCAGCATTCATAAGCATATAAACATTGATAACAGCAGCGCCGCATTTAAGCAGCGTGTCCAGCTGCAGTCACGCCGATCGCAGGTGAATAACATCTCTGGTCGAAATCGCCTGCCCGCTTGGAAAAGGTGCTTCTCAATGCACGCTTTTACTCCCATCATTCGGCAAGTTCGGACGGATTTTTTTTTACTGGAGATGTTCTTGCAAATGATCGCATCCGCGGCGATTTGTTTCGGGACAAAACAGAGGCACCGACTCCGCTAAAAGGACTGCGATGCCGACCCGGTCCAACGCACAAAGCCGCCGAGCAAAGCAAGCGTCGGATGTTACCTTATAAATGTCCCCGCCGGTCGCGCTGTAATATTAATCCGATCCCCGCAGAAAAAGACAGACGCGATCGCCCCCGTGGCCTAGAAGGACGGCAGGATCCGTCCCATAGTGTCCGGCGGTCAGACGCAGCCCTGCTGCAGGCGAGGAGGCTGAGCAATCCCGGTGCCAAGACATCCTGTCTCCCCGCTAAAACGCGCTTTTCAGAGGGACGCTGGCCCGCTTCCCAGGGCGAAGCACTGCGCTATTCATCCCGGCCGATCAGTCGTCATGCACCGACCCCCCCCACATCACCCATCATCCACCACCACCATTACTGCCACCGCTGCCTTGCACGGGTGACACCGGCGAAAAGCGAAAGGAGAGGACATACCATCGGAGCACAGCGGGGGACACCGGGGGACACCCGTGTGACCGTCCTGCCAGCCTCAGGTCCGCGCCGTGTCGCTTTATTTTATATTCGCCGTTTAAAGGGTTTCGCGCTGACACGAAAAAAAAAAACCAGACCGCGAAGGGAGACCGAGCCGTATGCGGGGGGAAGGAGCAGGAAGGGGGGACGGGTAAGGAAATCCTCGGCGATCCTGCGGAACTGCAAGTTTAAAAGGCGGCGCAGAGACTGTCCGGCGGAGGACCAGCCCCCTGACATGCGGCTGTACGGACGGAGCCACGCGCTGGAGGGGGGTCTCGGCACCAGGGGTACGACCGCAAACAACAGCTTTTAAAACAGGGACCTTCAAATGTAATTCGTATAGGCCTATTCATTTGTGGCTCATGTTTTTATTTATTTATTTTTTATAATCGTCCAAGTGATTAAAAAGATTATACTTGTGTGGGTGTTCTGGAAATATGAGTTAATGTACAACATGCCTGTTTATCAAAACAAAGTCCTATCAGAGCAAGATCAAGAAGTGAAAACATTGCCTGAAAGATGCGCAATCGATTAAAAACGTCCCACAGCTTCTTTTGTCCTGAACTTTATAACTACTAAGTCTCACATAAATTTAACGGTATTTGCGGACATCTGTGCTGGTTGGAATCGTTTCTAAATACCACAAAGAGACAGTGATCCGCTGTTTTATTGCATGCAATATAATTCAGTGTAAGGCTACTTGGAAAGGCTGGCTTTTTATGTTGCGTGACATGTGTACATTGGCTGATCATATAGGTACACACAGGCGAATGACACGGCGGGGGGGGGATGGGCGCAGGCTGGGACATACTCATCAGGGTGTGGGGGAACATGTCCTGGTCATAGGTCACCATCATTACTGCCTGCAAAAGTAATTGTTAAAAATGCGCCGCTTTGAATGCCCTGAAATTGCGGTAATGCTGTGGTAAAGCACAGTCACCGAGATCACGTTAGAAAATGCGGTGCCTCACTATTCCAGAACAGACCTGAAAGCCCTCGTCTGGTACCGCTTAAAACATCGCTAAGCGGAACCTCGCCCCATCCAAGTTAAACATCTCCACATGATGGCTGTGTGTGCTTTTTTAGGTAATATTTTTTTGTTCCTTTCATTGGCAGGCCTCCCTAGGCAAACGGTTTGTAGATTCACGAGCCTCAGTTTGAACGTTTGAAAATAATCCTTGAAAGCCACTCAAATGTCACTCAGATGGGGAACAGAGAAGAACTTTG